ACAAGAAAGGAGAAATGGGGACCCAAAACGCTGATAAATTAAGGTGACGACAGCAAGGCCTTTGTTCCTCTTTTTAAATGGGATGCTTTCAGTGTTTCGGCACAAAGCATGTGGCCCGTTTTCTGGTCTGGGTAAGCTTTGGTAAGCTTTGAACATCAGGTAAAAGACCCTCAGTTGAAAGGTCCTGCACTAGCTGCTGAGGCCCAAACTCAATAATCCAGCAGAGCCAGTGGTGCAATGGACCAGCCAGGAAGAGCTTTCTAAGCCAGGGTACATATGAAGTGCCAGAGGGAAGTGAAGAGCCATGCAGGAGCGTGGAGGGAAGGAAGCTCACCTACCTCTACCTGGGCAGGAGGCATATGTGGGAGGTGGAGAGACACAGAAAGTCTTCAGAGCTTGTGCCAAAGACAACAGGGGTTTTCCAGGTACACGTAGAAGGAAAACGCATGCTTAGCATGAGAATGCCTAGTGAGGTCTGGAAAAGAGGCTTCCTCCTAACCCAGCGAAGGCCACTGGTCCTGTCCCCCAGGAAACCAAAATCGCCTTGTTTGAGGGATGAACATAAGAGCATTAGCAGAGGTGAGTAAATACGACCCTTTATACCTCTAGCTCTTAGGGAACCATCTTCCCGATACTGTGATGTTGACAGTCTTGAGATATGAAGCGTGAGATGTTTCAGCGATATCTCTGAAAGGACTGGTGTTAGGACAGAACTACTATGTTTTCTCAAGTTTTGGCGGTAGGGTCTGAGAGACTTGGGACAATGGGCCAGCCACTGACTCAGGACTGGAAAACCTGAAGCCTCACCCTCTCTCTACCACTCACGAGCTCTTTGAACCCAGGCAAGACCTTCACTCTATGAGTCTCAGACCCCTTACTTGAAAAAGAAAGATCAAAGCACCATTTTCCTCCCCCGTCTTTCTCGTGTCAGATGCTTAAAATGGCAGCATGTTTGTTCATGAACACAGAGGGCTGTGGCCACTGCGAAAAGAGATTATGTGAAGAGAGAGACTAAGCCTTGAAATCAATCTCAGTTCCAACCTTTCTTCCATCACCGGCTAGATAGGGGTTACACGACGTGATGACTGTAAATACATTGGAAATGGCTGGCATGAGGTGCCTTTTAATTGTTAGTTCTTTGAACCTGGGGACTTAAGACAGTAAGAGCTCCAGCACTGAGTGCCATTAAAGACTCAGATACATCACCCAGTTTCCTCAGCTTTAGAGCAGAGCTGTCTCACAGGATTGTGGTCACATGGTGTCCCTCCAGATAATATGTGGGGAAAAACTTAATCAGTTCAGTGGGAGCTAAAGGGTGCAATATCTCATTACGTGGTAGTTTGTACAATGAGATAACATTGCTGGAAAGATCAGTAACGAGGTGAAGGAGCAGGTGAGATACAGAACTTGGTGACGCCCAGAGAGGGGTCACAGCAGAATAAGCAGATTGGCCCAACTGGATGTAGTGAAGTGAGCACTGACTTAGGATCTGGACCCCCAGTTTCCGGGCAGAATCTGACCCCTGATGGCCTTTTGAGGGTCAGAGTAGGATGCCTGTGGGCATTAGGACAGCTAACATGTCTGTGTTCGTGATCCTTGCAATGGGTTAGCTCGAATGAGTCTCATACAGGTCAGCTGAGTACATGTGTCAAGTGTTTTTTTCATAGTTAACCACCTGCTCTGCGAAATTCTACCTTTCGGAATCACTAGGTTAGATAGGAAAAACCTCGCCTAGGACAGAGCAGGTGATAGATGTAGAGTACTTCTCTCCCTGCACTGCTGAGAAGAGGCTCACCTCTGTGTAGGTGGATTTGATATGGCCTATTTCTACAAGTCCCACCAGAGAGCTCAGCAGTATGTCTATAAACTACATGCCCTTCCAGCTTCCAACAGGCTCTATCTTAAACTGCTATTAAGGAATATTCTTCTAATGGACAGCGAGTTGATGGTGGCGAGGTCAAGGCCAGCCTGGGATAAGCCTGTGTATCACGCAGAACCAGGGCTTACACGGTAGGTGTTGATGAAGCCCCTGCCCCGGTCGCCGACAGTCTATAGCAAATCTGGGAGGTGCACGATGACAAACTACATGGGGAGCGCTGGGGTCAACATGTATACAATGTCCAGTGAAGGCAACGAAAAGAGTGTAGAAAAATCTGCCTGAGGATGGAGAGGACAGGCCGGGAAGACTTCCTTGAGGACATTCTTCTTCGGTGTAGTCTTGGTGACAAGAATCTTGGTACAGCAATTTCTTCATGTTGCCAAACCCATGACCTTGAAAATAATTCTGGGCTTGACCCAGTTCCTGTAGAAACATCTACAGGATGCAAAAAGTGGATCCGAGGAGGCAATAAATAGTTGGGAATAGTGGTTTGAACCCTGGCTCTTTGGGCTCCTGTGAGTCCTAGAGAGTTTTATTTGCCCTTGAAAATACTCAGCATTTAATCAGAATAAAAAGGAAGATGCAGGTGAGAGCAGCAGCCTTCCCCATCACGCCGGCACGGCTCGGAGGAGACAGGACCTCTCTCTCTTGCTCTTGACCGCGCTAATGTCACGTTCCCTGCCCAGAAGCGCACGGCTTGGTGGCCGACTTCTGTCTCCTCCACTTGCCTTCCACGGGCCAGGTTCACCGACAGTGACAGCTTCTTCCTGACAAAACGATTTGCCTGGGCACGTGTGCTCTAAAGTGGGGAACGTGTCGCGGAAACTCATCATTGGACCATTTCACTTGGCACTTCAAGTTTGGGTCTGTTTCCTGAGCTGACACTTACGTGCACAGACTGTCTCTTCTTCCAAAGCTCTCTGGGTATAAAAATCAACCTTAACCTTGCAGAGTTCAGCCTCGAGTCCAGCCTCACTTTGGGTTGTATTTTAAGAAAGCATGAAAGTCAGCAGACACGCAGTTAGAATTGGAAGATTTCCAAACGGGTTTCTATACGATCAACCGTAGCGTGTGTCTGAGCGTGTCTGTGTGTATGTCCACGTGCGTGCCATGTGTAAAGTGCCCCCTGTGTGCCTGGTACAATCATATGTCGCAGGATCATCCTAAGAATTAAATGAGGGTTAAATATATCATCGTCTCCAAAGTTAGAAGTTAAATATGTAAACTCAGTTATATCTGACATCAGCACCCGCGTCACTTCTGCTTAATAATGAGAATTTACAAGGTTCTTGCCCTCAGAAAGGAGAAGAATCGAAATGTCAAGAGATGCTAGAATCCTAGAACAATCGAGCTAGGAGTCCCCTTGCAGCAGACGCATTCACTCTGCAGGTACCCAGTGAACGCTCTGTCCCAGGCTGGGCACTGACGAGACCCCGGCGACGGTGACGTGAGCACACCGCCAACCGCCCCTTCGGCGTGTCCTCACACCGCGTCATTAGCTGTCGGAGACAGCAAGCGCGTGACAGAGGACAGTGCGGGGTGCCCGCACCCATCTCGGGCTGGGGCAGGAGCCCAGGGAGGCAGTGGACCGGGGAAGGTGCTGAGGAGGAATGGCCTCCTTTTGCTACCCACGCTGCTCCCTTTTCTGGCCGGAGGTCTCCAGCGCTAGTCACAATAGTCAAGCTATAGAAACAACCCAAACGGCCGTTGACAGACGAACGGATGAAGAAGATAAACGGCACGTGCACCAGAATGTTATTCACCCCCGGATCCACTGCAGAAAGTCTTGGCATAGGCTGTACTTTATCCCCAGGGCGACGGGGGAGCCCCTAGAGTGAGAATGGTACCCGCAGTTTACCTTCCGCCCACGGAAATCCTTGCTTTCCGTTGAAGCCATGCCGAGCCCTGGTGCTGACCCAGGTTTAACCCGCGATGCAGACTTTGGGAGCCGTCTGGCTGTCTCTGCCCACCCCGAGTCTTCCGCTCCATCCCGTATAACTTCAGTCAGGCCGCTGCAACCACGCACGCGCCCATGCCCGCCCTCCCCAGACGGGGCGCCTGTGAAACCCTCCGGCAAGCCACCAGCAAAGCCACCAGCAAAGCCCCTGGCCACCCACCCCAGCTGTCCCACGGGAGGCCGATTCTCTATTTAGAGATCCACATCAGGCTTGAAAGCACGATCACCTTCCCCTATAGTTTAAAGACACCCAAGGCGAAAAATCATACATTTTGATCTAATACTTGATTTTATTTTTCACGTGAAAAATAGCCCTGACACGCTCAGAGGTGAGGGGAAGGCAGGGCCGGCTTCCAGGGGCCCCCTCTCGGTCTGCCTCTGAAGCCGCCGCCAAAGCTCCCAGGCGAGTCCTCCCCGCTGCTTTCAAGCATCTGCTTTTCATCCGCCTCTAAGTAGGTTCCGCGTTGCTGTTTATAGTTCCTGCGACAAGGACAGTTCTTGGGGAAGCAGCAGCCTGCAGAGCTCGGGAGAAGGCAGAATCACAATGAGGGAGGGATGAGAACAATAGCAACAGCTCGTCCTGTACAGCTCCGTGCAGGCTGCGTCGCAAGCCTCCTGATACGCACTAACAGCCGAGCCGTAGGGTTCCCGATTCATTAAGGGAGCGAAGTGAAGAATGTTTATGCAGCGTGTTTAAGGTTGCACAGCAGTTGGCAATCGAAGGAGAATTATGATACGGGAGAGGTGCGTGTGTGCATGTGTGTGTGTAATAGAGAGACCGAGACAGAGGCACTGTGTGTGCATGTGTGTGTGTGTGTAATAGAGAGACCGAGACAGAGGCAGAGAAGCGGAGAGAGCCCCTCAAGACCTCTTCAAAAAGTTTTAGCCCAGCCCCCAGCCGGATACCAGTGCCCTGGGCAGAGGCGCCCAGAGCCAAAAGTCTACTCATGGCTTTGCAAGTCAGACCCCAGCGTCGCTGACTCTCATGACTGAAGGAGAGTCACCTGTGTTTCCATGGGTAACAATCCAAGCTGGAAATAGGAGGCCATGTGCCACAGTGGACAGAACCCGGACTTCAGAAATCGGGCCGTTTCAGAGCCGAGTCCTCATTGCTCTATTTCACACGTGCCGCAGAAGAACCTGAGCATCGCCGGAGTGGTAGCCATGACCCTCGTGAGAAGGTTCAGGAAGCCCGTGACAGTGGCCCTGTCCAGCGGTGCTGTCTGGGACGGTGGAGGGGACATGTTCAAAGTCTGGACTATACAACAGAGAGGCCATTCGCCACATGTGGATATTAAAACCTTAAACTGTGACTAGTGCAACTGAGAAACTGAATTTTTTTTAATTAACTTTAATTTAAACCTAGGTAGCCGCATGAGGATGTATGTGGCTGCCGCATTGGACGGTGAAGATCTAGAAGCTACCAATCCACGGTCTCACGTGTTCTCTGTGACAACGTTGAGTTATGAGATGCAGAAGGTCTCTTCTCATTTCGTTGATGAGTGCACCCAGTCTCAGAGGAACTCCCGCCGAGAACTTGTGGGGGGCCCCTCCCATCATCAGCTGGCCCCGAAGCAGGAAGCCGTGCACAGGGAGAGATGGGCAGCCCCACCCGCCCAGCCCAGTGGGGCCCATGCAAGCCCCAAGACCCGCCGAGCGCTGCCTGAGCAGAGAAAGCGCTTTGCACAGCGAGCCAGAGCCGCTGACAAAGTATTATTCATTGTGTCAGTGCTAAGGCATTCTGTCTAAACCATTTCCCGTCACCAACGGGAGAGGGCCGGCCGGGCAAAAGGCTCAGACCCATTGCATCAGCTTCGTGCAGCCTCACTTGGCAGTGCATGAAAGAGCCTAAAAATAAACTTCTTTTTTTTTTTTTTTTGGTGGCTCATTGGTGCTCAGGAAATGCCTCTGTTTAAAAAATTAATTTATTTTCTAATTACAGTTGACACACCATATTATTTTAGTTCCAACTGTACAACAGAGTGATTAGAGCCTAAAATTTGATGCTACACTGTGCTTTGCATTGGCCAGACCTGACTCTAACTCACCAGAGTGAGACGATTTTTGAAATTTCGTCAATACAACGAGGTTTGGCCTTGAAAGATACCAGCGTTTCTGTGGGTGGGGAAGACATCTATTATGGGCTGAATTGTGTCAGCATTCTCCAAATTCATATGTTGAAGTCTAACCCTCGGCACCTCAGAATGTCACCGTATTTAGAGAGAAATGCTTTAAAGAGATAATTAGAGGGAGAAGAGGTCTTTAGAGCGGGTCCTCATCTGGTATGACTGGCGTCCTTATAAAAAGGGCGACACAGATGAACAGAGGGACGATGAAGAGAAGACAGAGAGGAAGATGGCCATCTACCAGTCAAGAAAAGAGATCTCAGAAGAGAGAACCCCTCCGACACCTTGATCTTGAACTTCTAGCCTCCAAAACTGAGGTAAAATAAACTTGTTTGAGCCACTCCATCTGTGGCTCTCTGTTACAGCGGCTCAAACACACCGATACAGCATCTACTTGATAAATCTTCCCAGACGATGCTAGCAGGCAGCACAGGTAGAGAACCTCAGCTTTAATCAACCAATAATCACGCCAGTGCCGACGGGAAGGATGATGATAATAAATTAAAGCATCATAGATTTTCACAATCGATGGTCCAATTTCACAGACAGTTTCATGAAGTTGTTGTCATCATTCTTCCCAATTTACAAAGGAGCAACTAACCTCAGGAAGTAAAGGAGTTTGTTCAAGTTCGCAGTCTGTAATTAATAAAGCCAGATTACAGACGCTGGTTCCTGGACTCCTCAATCTTGAATTCCATTTCGTCATGTTACCCGCTTTTCACCAAAACCAGCTCTGAGCAGGGTGACCACGTGTCCCAAAGTGCCCAAGACAGTCCATACTGTTTTCCTGGATTAATTATGGATAGTACCCCTGTCACTCTCAAATTGTGTTTACACAATTAGTATATGGTCCCCTTCCACGTCAGCCTCATGTGATAGTGCACGTTTTCCCGGCGTGCTTTCGAATCCTGCAGAGGGAAGAGCAGCTGTCCACACGGCAAAAGAACGTCTTCGTGCAATCGGTGGTGTCACGGGCGCCACGTGTAGGTGCAGACATGGACCGGATGACGAGCCATGGTGTGGATGACGAGGTGCATACCCTCAGCGCCCAGTTCAGAGACCGGTGACTTGATTTGAACCCGCCACCGGTTTGCAGAGGGAGCTCAGGCAGAAAAGAGGGAATGATTTTGATAGCCCCGAGCAACTCTAGTGTAATTCTCTGGCTAATTAACAAGGGCTTCATATGTGTAAGGGACTGTGGACAGCAGCGGGCAGTAACGAGGAAGGATAGCCCTGTTCTTCGGTCTCTGGGAGAAGAAGGACCTGTGTGTGATTCTGAGGTTTTGCCACTAAAAACGCCTGAAATACGGATTTGTTCATTTGTTACAGTAACGACCAAACCCTAGGAAGATCGGTCGCTATCACATAAACGTCCATTATTTTGTTCACACAAGTGTTGTGAGCAGGCACTTCTCCAGGGCAGAGCCTTCCCATTCGGTGGTCCAGGGATCCAGGCCTCACACCTGTAGCTTCAACACCTGGATCAGGTGTCTGGGACTGGTGGGCAGAGTCCTAGGAGGTGATGACACATTTTCCTTTTGTTCACACTCCATTGTCCAGAATAGTCGCGTGGTCCCGCCTAGCTGCAAGGTTCCCTGATAAACTCCAGCCTTCAAAACTCAGTGCCAATCTAGGACTTGAACCTCGTGGCCTACACTCTCCTGCCTGCACACCTGAGCTCCTTCTGGTGGTTGCTGACAATTCTGGGCATTTCTTCACCTGCACACCTGAGCTCCTACTGGTTGGTTGCACACCTGAGCTCCTACCTTCTGGTGGTTGCTGACAATTCTGGGCATTTCTTGACTTGTAGCTACATCACCCTCAACTCTGCCTCCATGGTTACGTGGCCTTCTGTCTATGTGTCTGTGTCTTCGCATGGTGTTTTCCTGTGCATCTATCTCTGTGTCTCTTCTCTTATAAGGACACTACTCATATTGGATTAAGGGTCCACCCTACTCTAGTATGAACTCAACCAACATCTTAATTACATCTGCAGAGACTCAACCCATCTTTTTGGAAGACACAGTTCAACCCACACTACTGCTTGAGACGTCTCCCTGTGTACCTTTGATCAGAATTACTGCCTCTCATCTCTGGTTTCTCGTGCATCACATGCCACATACCATGAGCATGGCATTCGTACCAGTGTGGGAGTTAGTGGTTTGCACACTTGTCTCCCACTTTGTAGGCAGGGACAATGTCTTATGTGCCCTTTCCATTCCCCTGGCAACACTTCGTGATGCCTGATGCTGTCTAGACAGCCTAGTCTGGAAGAAAGAACACAGGCTTCGGAGACATGTATTGCTATTCTCTAACCCTGACACCTCCGGGCCATGTGACTAGGAGAGAGGTGTTTAACCTATAAGATTTCCAATTTCTTAATCTTTAAAATGATGATAACAACCAAACCATCTTTAAGCCACAAAAGGAATGTACTCTCCCCTGAAGAATGCCCAGTGCAACAATGCATTTTATCAAAGTTCCTTCGAGCAATTGAATTCTCTCTCGAATGACTTTCACTCATCCGAATGAACCTGAAGAGGGAAGTCACATTGTTCTCCTGAGCCTGCACGGGAAGGAAGCAAAGAAGCTTCAGGAGGCTGAGAAGTGACAGATGTTTCACGAAACTAAAGTTTGACTGGGAAGCTGGAGACGTGGGGGTGCCCCCGAGAAGCAGTAGGGCAACTGAAAATCCTTAAAGTAATTAGCGCTAAAAACAGTCTTTTGGGGAGCAGTAAGCCCAGTAGGCAGAACCCAGGCTGCACGTTATTTTCTCTTCCATTAGATCAAACGTGGAGAGGTAGAAAGCGTCAAGCTTGAGTTGCAGAGGAAATGACAGGCAAATGCAATAAATAGAACTAATTAACTTTAGCTCCATTCCCCAGGTTCCCGAGGGCTGATCGCACACAGCAAGCTGGTGGGGAAACCGTGGGCTCTCTGGGCCTGCCCACTGATCTGGGAACACCTTGTAAAACACCTCCCACAGCGACTGCCCTGGCATTTCTTTTTATATCCAAAGCCTCCTGTGGGCCACTTTTTTGGGGCACGTATTCAGCCTTCCTCCCTTAGTCTCTCCTCGGTGTCCCCTCTGTTCTCAGAGGCCTCTCCTGAAGGCCCTCATGGCTTCCACCTCCTTTCTCAGAGCTCTGGCCCCTTCAAGATGCAAGCGTTGGCCAAGGAGCGAGATTGCCACACAAGAATTGGGGACCGGGCTCAGGGTTAGCCCATCGGTCTGGACCCAGGTCTACCTGCATGATCTTGAAAGGTACCTGATCCACCCTGGGTCTCATTTTCCTTATCTGTAAAACGGAAGTTCTCGTTCTAACCACCTCAGTTGTCCTAAATATTAATGGGAACATGCGCACCAAAAACACAGCTGTCATCTCTTTATGTGACAGAGCATCCAACATTGCTTAACCGATCCCGTCACCACCAACCTCAAAGAACAGACACAGGGAGCAAAGGACAGAGAATATTGAAAGCAGAATGCTGTCCAGTCCTTCTTATATTGAGGTTGCCGATCTTGTTACCCTACTCTGTGGGGTAGATGCTTTGCATCTTTCCGCCCAATTACGTTTCCACCGTGCAGTATGATGTGTAGCAGATGCCAAAGCATGGCGTAGGAAGATAGTAGAAACTTGGTCCTCAAGAACTTGCAGACATCCAAGGGGGCACCCTGGTCCAGAGGGAAGAGAGTTAGTGGGAGGCTCGGATATTCCTGCGTGAGGCAGGCCGTTGCCATCAAGTTGCCGATCTCGCTCCCCTCACCTGCAAACTGCAATCACAGTCAAACTTCCCCCGTGCGGAATGAGAATTCAAGGCGAGAACGTGGACAAAGTGTTCACATCTCACCCCGCACGGAGGAAGTTCTCAGTAAATGCTCGTTTTCATCAGATCCTCCGGGGAAACCACAGCCCACCAGCGAAGGCGATGAGGGTGGTGCCGTAATTAACAGCATAAAGCAGCCCTCTCAAGCGCAGTTGGAGGCGGTTTTTAAATATTATTTAGTTCATGATATGTGACGAATGCAAAAGTAGCGTGAGCGTGCGAAGTGGTAGAAATCAAAAGGGAGAGTCTGTATGTGAAAAGCGAATTAAAACGCTGACTGTCGCGTGGTTTATGTGGCATGAATTTCTTAACAGTAGCAGCGTCGTGGAAGATAAACAGGGAATCCGTTGTCTTTGAAAAGTAAGGTCAACGTGTACCAAAAACATTCATTTCTCGAAAGAAGAGGAAATGAACTGCCAGACACTGGGCTAGGCCCAGGGATGCATGACGCAGAGAGTAGCTCCCCGCCTTTGCATCATTACAATAGGGTAGAGGAAACATACTCCACAATAGTCACACGAAAGCCAGGTATGTAAATGAGAGTCGTACGTTGGGATGTACACGACACGCTGTGCAGATGCTGGGGCAAAGTCAGCTTCTTTCATACACCTTTACGTGGAGCCCTGATGAGGGCTCATGATATCGTCCATACCCTTCACGAACCAGGAGACAGGCGAAGTGATGGCGGGTGTGGTGGAGGTCACAGGAAAAGGACTGGACAGACCCAAGAGATAGTTTGGCGAGAAACTCTCCAAGATCGGGGATGGCTTGGTCTGGGAGCATCGGATGGTCAAGGATGCCCCCTGGACTCCCCTGCTGCACAACTGGGCGAAAGAAAGTGCCAGAAATTAAACCAAGGAAGCCCGGGGAGGTGGAGATTTGAAAGATAAGAGTTAGGTTTGTGGACATTTTAATTTTTAGATGCTCGTCAGGCGTTCAGTTGGAGAATGATGGACGCCGCCCTGTACGAGGACTGTCCATGCAACCACCAGTCGTACAGCAAGTCACCCTGCAAATCAGGCGTCATACATATCGAGCCCTCTACTCAGAAAAAGAGGCTACGGGTTTGAATGCAAAGACCTCGGAAGCAGACACATTTGGCTCCTTCCTCGACTGTCCGTTACCCGTGGGACCCCTGAAGGACAGAGCTTCACTAACACGGAGAAATAATTTCTGGGTCACGGAGGGGTTTCGAGAATGAAAGGAGATAGGAAGCTGTCTCATTCCAGACACTACAGTTGCCCTATTTCCCTTTTCCCTCTTCTATTTCCCTCTCTCTCCTCTATCACCCTTTCATTTGAGGGCTCACGATATCGTCCGTACGGGGCTGGAGTGAATTACAAAGACAGGTAACTCAAGATGATTGAAAGCGTTGCATAATTTTTAAAAAAAAATGATGTGCTTTACTGCAAGCTCCTGTTTCAGATAGATGAGAGAGAGAGAGATTTATATAGCTAGATACACAGGTAGATTAGGCAGATGATCTAGGTGTAGACGTAGACCAGATGTTCTCATATTATTTTCCAGCTCCCGGTAGCTGTGATCTCTCCTCTCCAGCCACCTCCTTCCCTTTTCTTCGTCTGAGCATCTGCGGCAGAGGCGACGTCTCTCTCCTCCCCCACCCGTCTCTGGTTTCCAGCCTTCTGCTTTACCCACTGCTGCCCATCCGACAGCAGAGCACGATTAAATGGCAGCCTACGAGGGGCGGCTGGAGCGCGGCCTTTATGAGAGAGGCAGCCTGGAGATGCTGTTCGATCAATACACTCCGGGCAGGGGTCACTCAGACGGTGCTTATATTCTGTAGACTTCTTCAGGAGCTGACCTCATCTTGTTGACCCCAAAATGGCTAGACATCAGGACGAGCAGGAGGTAAATGGAAAGCCAGAAGAGAAGGCCGTCATGGTGCTAGGATGGGAAATGGGAGTGGATGCGGAAACGCTGATTCCCCAGAGAATCGTCTGGCTCCATGGATGTGGCATGGCAGAGAGGAGGGGGCATTTCTCTGTGTTTCTCTCCTGTACGTTCTGTAAATACCTTGATCACAACTCTTATTCATTTGCCCGTCCATCTATTCATCCATTTGGCAGATGTGCACGGAGACAGGTGTGCACGGAGGTGAGCCTCAGCCTCAGTTCTGCTTACCTATTTGAGGAACTCCCCGCTGTGGCATACGTAGGACAATGGGGCTCATGTGGCTTGCAGTAGGCACCCCATAAATGTGGTTTATTGATGCAA